TGCGATAGAGCCGATTTTTTTGAAAACCCTATTCATTCTGGCCATAGAGACATCAGGGCTTAGACCCTAATATGAGCATAAGGGCATGGAGCTGACTACACGACTACAGTGGTCTATATGCAAGTAAACACCTGGTAAGTTTCTGTATTTCTGTTTATCTGGTTGCATGACGTGCCCCCCAGAAGGATGTTTGCATGCTGTTTGCATTTGAAGACGTCAGTTCATGGCTAAGCTAAAATAATGCAGTTACTAGGCTACAAGGGTGACGTTTCAGCTTTGAGAGTTTTCAAACGTTTTCAGAGTTTTCAGACCTTAATCAGACTAGTGATACAAAACTGATATGAAGGAGAAGTCTAAGATAAGCACACTGCTTAGACATCTCTGACAGGTCTATATCAGATGGTTAATGCTAATCTCCTGAGTCTTCAAGATATAAGATATATATGAGGTCCTTGTCTAAAAAATGAAGGTTTACCGTTTGTTTATTGAATGCGGTTAACATAAGTGTTCCTCATATTTCAGTCAAATTATTGGTATATTTTGTTGTTTTAGCTGTAAGTGGTTTAACCCAATACAAATTTACTTAGACTGTAATGCATTTTTATATTTTATATATTTCATCCTAGCTACACTTACATGTGGTCTTTTTGCTTAATGTGAGACGCATATCAACTGTTTGTATCCAGACCTTGTATGTCACAAGTGAACACATCATAAGATAATACAAGATCACTGAACATTCATTTAAACTGTAACTATGATTCAATTTTCTCTTTGCTTTCATTCAGAATTTGAAGTCTACAATGAAAGAGTAAGTAAATGGCTGATTTCTGTCTTCATGATGAGCCATTTTACTTGCAAAAATACTGAAGTTATTAGTATATAGTGTTTATAACCGTGGAATAAAAAGATGTTTGTCAGTGAGAGACATCAAACATCTACGTTCTTTTATGGATAATCCGCAAACCTTGAAAATGATCATAAATGTATGTTATGAATATAAATATATCCATCAGAGTTCAGCGTGCACCATAGGATCCAGAGGAGTCATCAGGAGCTCAGTGTTGCAGAACACCTTTCTAACCTGAACTTCAGAGTCGGGGAGAACATGCAGGAGATGCTGCAGTACAGTAAGCTGAGTTTATTGAAAAGATTTTGTTAAGTGTATTAAGAAGTGTGCAGCTCCAGAAATGAAAATGAGAGTTTAAAAACAGGCAAACTTAACTATTAATTCAAAACAGTCATTGATCAGAAACAAGAAACAAGTCACACATTTAATTTAATTCCACGCTGCTTCTGTTAGTCTTGCACACTGATAGAGATCAGTGGTCCAGTTAACCACACAGCTCTTTTTCAGCAACACAACACAGAAGAGCAGAGACACACAGCACTGATACGCACACACCTCACCTGCACAGACAACACAAGCGTAGAACCACCTGACACTTTCCTGTAGCTGTGTGGCAATAGCTAGTTTTGCAGCTTCTACATTGGTGCAACAGGCCAAACTGATCAACCAACTGACCATTACTAACCATGTAACACAGGAAGTTAGCATGTGTTACGCTCATAAGATGGAGCGGTCTCAGAGCGATCTTATCCTTGGGTGTGTATCTTGACACTCTAGCTGTCCGAAGCTGCTCTGTGCTGCGGTCCAATCTTTCAAAACTAGTCACACATCCTACGTTGGTGACATTAAAAAGGCAGAGCTGCTGGAGATACAGCACATCTTCTTTATAGTCTATTATATGAATTGTTATTGGAAATGTGTATGTATAAAATACAAGTAATGACAGATAAAATGCAGTAAAAAGCAGAATATTTTTCTATTTTAGTGGAGTGAAAATAAAATTCTCAAAAATAGAAATGGTTTTCATCAAAGTACAGATACTGGAAAAAATACTTAAGGACACTCTTGAAAAAGATGGTTTTCATAGCGTTCTTTAGTAAATGAAAATGGTTCTAAATAGAACCATGAACGTTTTGCATGATTAAAAGTTTCTGTGTATCATGAAAGGGTTCTTCAGATTGATAGAGCATGTGCTGGAGATGATTCTATAGAGAACAGTTTGAAAAAGATCCTACATACACTCTTAAAAAACATGTTTTCAAGCGTTCTTTAGTAAAGAAAATGGTTCTAAATAGAACCATGAACACTCACAAACCCTTTGCATGATTAAAGGGTGCTGTGCAGCATGAATGGGTTCTTCAGATTGTTGTTCAACATGCTGTAGATGGTTCTACATAGAATCTTTTGTAAAGGTTTCTATATAGCACCAAAAAGGGTTCTTTAGTTCTTACACTGTCAAGCTTGTTACTATAGAAGTACCCTTTTGGTGCCACCCCACTGGTGGTCAACTATGTTCATTCTGAGTCAAATGGATAAACCAATGATGTTGAATCATATAAGGGCAGCGTTAGATAAATATATAGGTAAATACCATAAATCTACTATACTGAAATTAGTGAGTTAGTACATTTAACAGTGAAATTAATCTGTATCCTAAAATTCTGATTATGTTTTACTTACAATGAAGAAAAGGAATTTGCCTAAAATGCTGTAAAACTAAATGAATGCAATAACATGGTGTTTCCTTTTGTTCTCCCCAATCAGCTCCTGTTACTCTGGACCCCAACACTGCTCACTCATACCTCCACCTGTCTGATGTCCTGACTACTGTAGAAAGCACATACCAGGAATCACCACTTCCTGATTATCCTAATAATAAAGAGGGATTTATCCGAGTGTTGTGGGTCTGAGGGCTTTAACATACGGTCACACTGCTGGGATGTGGAGGTCGGACATAGTGAGAACCGGACACTGGGTGTGATAAAAGTCTGCAGCAAGAACAGGAAACACTTTCTGGGGTTCAGTGTGGATGCTGGGCTACAGTAAAAGCAGTGGTACATACAGAAAGAGGAAAGAGGAGTTAACACACTATAACACTTTTACTGAGAGGGTTTTACCCTTTTTCTGGATTTGGGATCTCCATCCTCTGAGGGTCTTACCAGTGAAGACATCAATAACAATGAAACAGCTCAGTTAAAGTTAAGGCTACTTAGAATGAACTAGTTACACAATATAGAAATTAGGACTGTAATAGCAGGAATGGGATGCTTGATACTATGTTTGATTGTGTATCAGCTTGATATTCCACTGAAACTTTGAGAGAATGTATATTTTTATATTTTTGTATTTTTTGTAACCAGTGATGGTAGCAGCAGAACGCATATCACCTGTTAGAAGTAAACTGAAGTCAGAAACGCCCCCAAAATAAGCATCAGCTACTGTGGTGATGTCAGTGGCTCACAGACTTGAGGCAGTTATTGCCTGTAAAGGTTTTGGGACTAAATACTACTTTAAACTAACATTTTTTGCATTAAAGTTTTTCGCCCCAACTCTTATGCTCAGCTGAAAATGGAGAACACAAATTATGTTTTTTTTCCTAAATGGTTTATGTTATATGACAAACACTGCCCAAAAGCTGTCTTGTGCTTTAGGGTCAAGCATATTATTTGATCTTATACAAATTTAGTAAAAATATAACAAAACTATTTCACCTCATTTTTCCCATATTTTGCTTCTCACTGTACATAATAGTGCCCTAAAATGCATAGAGTGGTACATTTCGGTCACATACTATTAGAAGCATTAGAACATTGATAGGCCACAGTGGTTTAGGGGTTGAGGGTAGTACCAGGGGTGGATCATGGTGTGGCAAGGCCCCTAGGAACAACCATCTTTGGAGGCCCCCCAAACTCTGATAATAGCATGTAATACATAAATAAACAAAATGACCTGAAAAGTAAGATAAACAATATTTCACGTGTGTACTGCACTTTAGTAATGCAACATTTTAAGTATTTTTTTTGTTTGAAAATAAACCAAATTATCCCTACTAATGTGCAATATCTTATTGTGTCTACATCATAACTTTTTTGTGATTTTTAGATCTAAAGACAAACTTGAATCATGTTTACTTTTCTTTTTCTTTGAAAACCAAACCCAATCATGATACAAAAACTTGGCAGTCAGAGGTCCAACTGGCCCCCTCAGTAATCTTTCCCTGGGTGGGACGTTGTATTTGCATTCTAGAGTTTTTGTTAGCTTTAGTCTGTTAGTAATAGAACAACTACAATAATGGCATTAATAACAATACAGTGAGCTTTATTTATGTATAAGAAACAAAATGCATTTTAGAAAATCAAAGTGCCTAGCCATGTGCAAGTAGATGTATAAAGAAAACAAGTAACAAAAACTGTATGTTATATAAAAAGATTTAAAAATATCACACAAATAAAATAGTAAAAATATTAACAAACAAAACAAACACAATAACAACAATATTCTTCCTATTTGGGGAAAGAAAATCTGACTCAAATACATGTCAGTCTGCTACTAGCAGTAAAATAGTAAATAAAGGCTGCTCAAATACCATGTTATTCTACCTGCTGCTTTATCTACACTGTTGGGTTAACCTTTTGGGCCATTTTGCTCGTCAGTGTTACTGCAGTGCTGAGAATGACCCACCACCCAAATAGTACCTGCTCTGTGGTGGTCCTGTGGGGGTCCTGACCACTGAAGAACAGGGTGAAAAGGGGCTAACAAAGTATGCAGAGAAACAGATGGACTACAGTCTGTAATTGTAGAACTACAAAGTGCTCCTATATAGTAAGTGGAGCTGATAGAATGGACAATGAAGGTGGGGGTCCCCAATGAAGAAGGAATGAAAGAAGAATAAACTTTGATAAGACAAAAATTCGGCTTAAGCCTGGAAAAACATTTAGCCTTTAAAGTTCATTCAGTGCTGTAGAAAATATGCGTACTGGGTCAACAATGTTCTTGATTTGTCTGTGGCTTACTTTTTAAAGAACTGTGAGACTGTGAACGCCTTGGTTAAACAAACAGGAAAATGAAACTTCTCATACACTGTGTCATGTTAGAATGAAAAGAAATATACTGAGAAGTTTGCATGCTGTCTACTACTCATCTCCATCCTGCTGTCTAATTAGAGTCAAGCAAATTACGGAAATGTCACAAAACAATAATGTAAACAAGGCTGTGTTTCCAACAGCTCTGTAAAAGAGAATAAGACTGTCTGTGTTAAACCGTGTGGCTGGAACCCGAGCCCTTGATAAATTTGCCTTTTCATCCAGGAAACATAAATAATATGATTCAAAAGCCATCGTAAAAACACTTTAAGGGGAGTCAACCAACCCAAATCTAGTATCTCAGTAGGCCCAGTAAGCTTATTTCATTCAGTCACATTTATCGTGTCCAGTTCTAATGAAAGCGAGGAGCTCTAAGCAGTTATGTAGCACATATGCAGCTCATGTAAGAACTGTAGCAGATTTAGCAGTGCTGTATGTGTTGCTGCTAGCATTGGTTTCTGATCTGCTCTGATCTGTTTGCTGTTCTCTCTGACATGGGAGAGCCTTCCTCCAGGCCATTGTGTATGCTTTCTTTATTTTGGGTATCTTGAAAGCATAAACTACAGGATTCACCGCTGAGTTGGCATGTGAGAGGAGAATGCCAACATAGAAAGCGATGTGAGGGACAAGGCTGCTCTGGCTGTAAAACTCAATGGTGTTCATGATGTGTATAGGCAGCCAGCAGGCTGCAAACAGAGCCAGAACAAGAGCCAGTGAACTGGCCAGCTTCTTCTCTTTAACATAATATGTGCTGGACTTGGCGGCCCTGATAACACCTCCTCTCAGCTGCTGAGATATTGTGCAGAAGATGAAGCCATACAGAACAGTCATGATCATCATGGGAGGAAGAAGACAGCTGAGGAAGATGAAGTTGACCAAGTATGACATTGGTATGACGGTCAGGAACTGGCACACAATGGTGGTGGAGTTGGAAGGTTGTAAAGAGTTGTAGTTGTTCCATCCAAACGTAGGAATGAAGCCCAACACAGCAGCAATCATCCAACATACTGCCACTATGGCCCAAGAGTGTGTCCGTTTGACTCGTCCTTTGTACCTGAAAAGGAGATTAAATTGAATTACTGGGGAGAAAAAAATGTAGTTGATTATAGATTTCTGAATATGACTGAAAAATATTAATTGTCTAGGTCAGTGGTTTTCGTCATGTGGGTTGCAGTGTGGGCCCGAGTGGGTTGTGAGGAAACCACATTGATGCATTTTTAGAACAAGAGTACAGCTATAAGGAAGAGTATTTTAGATCAGAAGCTGTAACCACACCGCTTCTGCACAAGAGAATGCTTGCTGTGCTTAAAGCTTCGAATCTATTTTTGTTGCCTCAACACAGCATGCAGTAGGCTTACCAGAGTTGAAGGAGCAATAAGCAATTTTTTCTTTGCCTTATAAAGTATGGCAGTGTTCTTGGAACTGTATACCCTCCCAGTGTTACTCTGAAGTCCTCTGTCCTTCATGGAGGCTATCAAAGTGGACGTAATGCCAGTGTTTACCTTAGTTCTGGTTCTTTGTCGATGCTGATCTCATAGTTCTCTTCCTTTGTTTTTTGGATTTTTTTACATGATCTGACATTGTTCCCTCGTGACCCCTCGACTGTTTTTGCCTGTAAAGAGTAGCATAGAGTAGTTTTTCTATACAGTACTCAGAAACGTGTAGCGTACCTGTTAGATACTACTTTGAATGGCCGATGGGAAAGTGACTAGTGAAGCTTTCACCATGCAAATCTGAGCATGCAATTCTTTTTCTTCTACAGCAAGTTTGCCCGGCTGTTGTCACATGACCGAAACATGGCATTGCCTATGTGTGGACCTGCGGCTCATTTTGATAAAATGGTTTATATAAGCTTACGAAGCAAACTGAGTCCTCATCTCAGGTGAGTGTACATTATGAAAGAAACTTACAGCTCCTTTAAGCTGAGTTAGCCTAGAGCACAGATACTGATCTATAATTCATATAGTGTAGACACAATAAAGAAATATTCAATGTTTTGCAAGTATACCACCTGAACAGTATATTTACTAAACGTGTACTTTTTTGATGAGTTTACATTTTACTTTGCACATTTTAGTTGGTTTTGGGTCAATCACTACCTCTACATGTGTTTGGGAAGTTTGTAACTCCATCTAGCCATTTAAAATGTATTAGTGTGTGTTACAGAGTTGGGCACTGTATACTTTACAACATGAGAGATATCTTGCAGTCATGTGCTGATGCTGTTGTTCCATTCTCTACACCAGAGCTCTCTAACCACAGATTGGTGGACCGCTACTTGGCCGTGATCATTTGATACCAGGCCACAAGTTCACGACAGTGGGCAGGGAATGTTAGCTGCAACCCTCGCAGTTAAGGTGGCTCAAACTGTAGCAGCTTCTAATTTCTGCCTGTATTTTGTTTCAAACTGCACAACTTCTAACTGTACTTGAATGCATCAAGTTCACAAAGCAAATTATTTCTATAAAGCCATTTTTGTAAATATGGCCTGTGTTTTGGTTGTGAGAAGCAGCAAAAACAACAAAAACACGTGTATGGTGTGCTTCCAGGACAAAACGCTGCTCTCACTGCAACCACACTCAGCCCTACAGTTTAGCTTGTTAATTTAAAATGTAAAATGTAAAATTTTTAGTTTCTTTGTTTTCATTGCTTTTGGCAGCCAACCAGAGCTTCACTTGGTGGCTTTTTAGTATGTTTAACCTAATTTGCATATAGATTTTAATTGGCTCTTGCCTAGAACTTCTGTTAAATTATCGCAGCATTACAAAACACTGATGCGCTAATCATCACCACAGTGACTTCAAGAATAGCTCTTATTTGCCATAGCTGCACATTTTGCATGCCGTAGCACTGTTATCACAGGGTTTTATGAATCTGGTTTAGTATTTTAAGTAAAATGTCATTTACTGTAAATGCTATGATGAACATATTGCATTTTATGCTGTAAAGTCAAAAATATGCGAGTTTTCTCCTCAAATCAAGACTCAGTCTGTGTACTTCCAAAGAATGAAGCACTGCTTACACATTTTGCATCAAGTAGACCAACAGCTTTGTAGGAGGTGTGAAGAATGTCAAACTGAAATACACACCAGAACTCTGACACCGCTTACTCTGGCAGTTTCATTCTGACCACAAAGATGGTCACGTGACCTTGTGGGTTTAGGTATCACAGGGGCGAATGCACATAACTTCATTGGAAAAGACGAAGTAATGAAACTTGATTCACTGCTACTAGACAGACTTCTCAAGATTTGATACTCACACTGATACTGACCTGACATGAGATGATCTTGGGGGAAAAACTGTAGAATTTGCAAAACAATAACAACAAAATACCTGCATTCCAGTCAAATGTAAACATCTTCAAATGCAAGTTGGTACCAGACATAGGTGAAGGCTTTTTCCTGAACTCTTTACTCTTGTGAAGAGAATCGGCAACATGCGTAACCTATTGTACGCATGTATAACTTGATTCATAACCAAACAGGACTAAAATAACAAAAATAAATAAAATACAATAAAAGGTATGCTCACTGATACTGTTATTGTAATGTTTATGCAGTTCATGTTAATCAGCTCAGCTTTTATGTAGACTCAAGATTTTTTTATTGACCACTTGACTTACAACCAAATATACAGTATTTTGTAAAAGTTACAGACAACAAAATTACAAAACTATATCAAAAACACTTAATTGGACAACTTTTTTTGAGACCTCATCCGTGTCCCTCATCCGTGTTTTTTGTTTTTTTACATATGATTTTATTTGTGTACATCTGTGCAAATGTGTTTGCTAGTCATGTACTGGTTAACATTTTTGAGTTTGGCTCACTACCAAGTTTTGGAGATGTTATTATTGTTTTGTTAGTGGCAAAATGGAACATTCAACAAAAATTATTATTATTATTTTTTTTTATTTTTCCCCCAATTTAGTGGTATCCATTTCCACCCACTAGTTAGCACTCCCCATTCACACAATACCACCAGCACTAGGAGGGTGAAGGCCAGCACAGGCTTCCTTCAAGACCTGTGAAGCACCACTGTATTGTTTTTGAACTGCCACTTATGCAATGCTACTGGACAGCCAAACACGCTCGGAAGAAGTTGCCAACCGCCAGATCTGTTACAACAGCTAACAGATGCCTGCGCTGACTAGCATCGTGCTGAGTGATGGGGGGAGGCATCCTACCCACCCAGAGATCAAGGCCAATTGTGCTCTCACAGCCACGGATGGCTGCAGCATCAGCGGGGAAGGAACTCGCGATTTCCTGATAGGGCTAACGCTTTGATGGTTGCGCCACTCGAGAACTCCCAATCATTGCATCGTAGGTCACTCAAATCAAAAGAATTTTAGTCTAAATTCCAAGTCAGTTAAAAGTCTAAAATGTGTTTTCAACTCTGACTTTGCATTAATTTGGTAGAACAACCCATACAGTGGTTTTACTGGCAAAAACCCACTGACTGCTGATGAAAATGATGATTAAACAATTTTTTAGGTACTTAACACTTTTTCACAGTTCTGCATATTTACTTTTTACACTTATTTTAGAAGGAAGCAACTATACGGTTGAAATAAATGTAATCTAGTGCTTTGCACTGCTTTATATGATCTTCAGAACTCATTTTGCCTGCAGTTCAGTAAGTTATCTCTGCACTCTCAGAACACAAACTGTACTTGATCTTACTTGAGAGGGATGTAAACACGCAGATACCGGTCCACAGCAATGGCCAATAGGGAGTACACAGAGGCCTGGGTCAGCACGATGACCGCACAGCTGATGAAAAGGCAGCCATGGAAAGACATCTCGACCCGTCCATCCACCAGCACAGCCAGGGGGACAGCCAGAGCCCCCACCAGGAAATCAGCCACTGCGAGGGACGCAATGAAACAGAAGGTGGGCTGCCTGAGGGCTCCAGATGTCCACACTGCCCAGATGACCAGCACATTGCCCAGACAACAGGCAACAGCAATGAATATTTCCAGTGCTGTGTAGATCACCTCCCCAACATCAGCCATTGCGAATTAGAAGGAGGAGAACGTCAGAGGAACGTGCTGGCTGTCTGGTTGTGATTACAGGAAGCTTTCCACACAAGTCACTCGTTCATTTGCTGCACAAACACTAACAGAACTGAAAAGACAGAAAGTTTTGACCTTACAGACCACAGAGGGGCGTGTGGCGGTGACAGACGCGGAGGGGAACTTCCTTTAATATCAGTACTTTAGCATTTCATGTTGTTTGCATGGTTGTGCAGATATCCTGCAGAGGCAGGTGCTCAAAGTGAAACTACAGCACAACCTGTTTAACTACAGTAAGAGCTGAGATAACACGACTCAAAGAGAACATAAGGAATCTTACAAACCAAACATTACTATAGACTGGCATTTATCAGACTCTTCCAAGGTTAGTCAGTTGTAGGCCTCTCCAATATCTAAAAATACTTCCTTATTTGAAAAATAGTTGCAGACTTTATCCATGTAGTTAGAAGAGTCTGGTGCCTGGACAGTGCTGTTTCTTCAGTGTCTGCAGGGTCTGTAATCAGACCAAAATTCAGACAATTAACCAAAGCCGTTTATAAGTCCCAGTTAAGCTGTGTAAGGCAGGGACTGATTAAAACTTCTTGAGACATTTTTGTACTAATTGAAGATCTAAAGATGAATCATTAATAAAATAGGATTCACATAAAATACACATACAGTCAGATACAAAATGGGTGACACAGGTTGGCAGCTTCTTCCCCCAAATATGACCACAAAATTAATAATATAAAAAAAATAAATAAATCACAGCAGAGTTTATTGTGATTAAAGCAAACCTGATTCTCTTACTCTAAATCACAGGTTGCCAACCCTGGCCCCGCTCTAGAACACCCACTTTAACTAAGGAAGGGTTTGTTATTTAACTGCTTGGTTGGATACATTTACCATACATATTGATAAGGCACATATGGTGGGACTTACACTTAATCAACACTGTTTTTTTGTTACTGACTTTAGCAGAGCTCAGTAACACTGAGATTAATAACTGATCATATTGATTTATCAGTCAACTCAGGCTTTAGCAGAGCTCAGTAACACTGAGATTAATAACTGATCATATTGATTTATCAGTCTACTCAGGCTTTAGCAGAGCTCAGTAACACTGAGATTAATAACTGATCATATTGATTTATCAGTCTACTCAGGCTTTAGCAGAGCTCAGTAACACTGAGATTAATAACTGATCACATTGATTTATCAGTCAACTCAGGCTTTAGCAGAGCTCAGTAACACTGAGATTAATAACTGATCATCACATTGATTTATCAGTCTACTCAGGCTTTAGCAGAGCTCAGTAACACTGAGATTAATAACTGATCATCACATTGATTTATCAGTCGACTCAGGCTTTAGCAGAGCTCAGTAACACTGAGATTAATAACTGATCATCACATTGATTTATCAGTCGACTCAGGCTTTAGCAGAGCTCAGTAACACTGAGATTAGTAACTGATTAATTAATAAGGAAAAGTCTCATTCATCTGAAACTAAAGAGGAAGGGGACCTTGACCCTTGGACCTTTGGACCAGGGGCCCCCTAACTTAAACATTCCAAACCTGCAATGTCAGATAACACATGGAGCTCAGATACTACACAACTGATCACATTGATTTATCAGTCGACTCAGGCTTTAGCAGGAACAGCAGTTGTTTACTGAGTTGATGCTTAGAGTTCGTCTAACATGCATGTTTGCTGCATGCTGTACACAAGTTTTAAAATAGTTAATAAATAAGCTTTGGTGGTGTTTCTTTTCAAGTTGTTTTTAACTTTGAAGCAGAGGCAGCATGTAAAGTGCACAGTGGGCAGTGAATGAAATGCAGTTTTAATGAAACAGCAGCTAGACTACTAAATATACAGAGCAGATTTCCTGGAGAAACAGACTGTACACACATTCCTATTACAGCATCACTGGGAGACCATGAAGCTGACTATATTAATAGGAAATCAGGGCAGCGCATTAATGTTCAGGATGTAGTCTGTGAAATGGGTGTCTTCATTAAATGTCTTCCAGTCACAAACCAGGCTTTAACAGAACTTCAGTGGAGACACTTGCAACTTTTCAGATGACCTGTAATAATCAGCATTAACACAAAATAACCTGAGTTAGGTTATGACTGTTTGTAGAGCATTGCTACACTGTGCTACTGTGAGTGTTCAACAAAAGCTTACATCAGATTTGTTGCAACAACGTTTACCATTAAATGCTGAAACATTAATGATCAGTTGAAGCAACTAATAGAATAAAATAACACATTAAATATGTTTGATGAACTGTTTTATTTTGGATGCACATATCCATATTTACATATCACATATATGTAAATAGATACTAGAATATAGTATTCTTTTGATCAAACTACTGAAGATTATATCTATGTACAGTCTGTAGCAAAAGTTTGTACACCCCTGGTCAAATGACGTTTTGTGAAAATAAGTTAACACATCCTCTACAGAGAACACACTTCTGCACATTTAATGCACAATTACTGTTTATTTACTTAATTTAACATATTCGGGGAAAAAAAATAAAACAAAATGTGGTCTGTGCAAAAGTTGACCCATTTTACATGAATTTGTTCTCTTTTTCCAACATGTTAAACTCAGGAAAAATAGAAATTGTACACTAAACTTTGCAGACAAATACAGTATTACATTTGTTCCTTGTAGAAAGTGTTATGTGGTATGTGGGTCACTTAATTCAAGTGGGGGTGTTTAAACCTCTGTATATGACTACATAACTTCACATTAAATGTGATAACTTGAATTTTAACTTCATAAGCTTTATTTTGTCTTCAGAAAAGGCCTAAAGATTTCTGTAAAATCAAACATAAACGTGTAATTTTTGTTAATATTGTATTTAGATATGTTCATCAAGGTTATTGTATTAAAACTTTGCAAGTGCTGTAGTAATATTAGTAGTAAAATTCTTTAACCATCCAGTGGATAATTATTCTCTATGGTCTCTAGGTTGTTAAAGCTAAGCTGGCTCTTCCATTGGTAGGGAATTTAGCCTAATATGTCAGATTAACTACTAATATAAACAGTAAATGATGGGAATCAGCCAATCATGTTTTGATTTCCAATGAATGGGACCAACACTGTGAGAGAAAAAGCCACTCTCTGCCTTATGGAAGTTCTCTGGAAGTCCTAGATCCATCACTGTCTGTGAATACGAGCAGAAGCCTGACCAGTGCATTCTAGTCAGATGTTAGTAATGGAACAAAGCAACAGCTCTATGCCAGAGCTCTTCATTAACAGTCACACTAAAATAGCTAGCTTAGCCTTATAAGGCTACTAGAATCCCATAGGAGTGGTATCAGAAATTAGCTTTATCAAAGAGGGATCCAAGTTTTTCCATTAAGTTTTGACATGTATGTCCAGAACTGAAGGCAGAACTACAGAACAACATCTGTATAGCAACAGTTTACCACTGAATATTGGAGTACTTACAAGCAAAGCATGCTCTCCCACACTAGGGGTGTAGCCACAGGTAGGCCTGGGCCTAACTAGACTGACCACTTGTTGACACAATCAAATATAGACAGAATATTTATTAAACTTTTTTTAACATAATGAAATTTGATTGAAATTTGATTACAGCCAATCATATCATTATGCTCTCCATCAGGTTCCACCTTATATTCTGAGCCCTTCAATCACTGTTTAGCAGCCGTCGTTATCTGCCATTGACTTTAGTTTTCAGTTTCTCATCTGTGCGCCAATGTTTCATTTTAAGTTCATGCTTTATAGTGAAAGGTTGGTTGGTTAGTGAAGTGAAGTGCTGGTTGGGTTTATTTGAATCCTGCCGTCCAGTTTATTTGTACACAGTCCTGCTATTGTGTTTTATCACCATAGGATAGAAGTGTTGGAATAGGTAGAGTGATGACTGCACAGCTGTCCGGAATAGGCTGTAGCCTGATGTTATGCATGTATGGAAATTGTATTTACCAACATGGGCCAACTTTTTCACAGGCTCACCCAAAAGCTTGTTTCTCACTACAAGTCGAGCTCACTGACCACTGTAGTGTCATGAATTTATTTTAGGCATCTGTTCTGCAAATTTCCATGACAAAGTTCACACATCATCACGCTGTGAGTTTTGTAGCTTTCTCTAGACTTAAAAGAGGAAGGGTGTATTATATCACTATCTGGTTAAGACAGTTGCAGACACAGCAGAGACGAGCTGGAAGTGTCAGAAGCTCTGCTGTCCATCTGAAGTGAAGTAGAGTGTGGATGTGAGTCTGAACTCAGAATGAAGATCCTCCTCATCTTCATCTTCTGCCTGATGTCAGGTAAAAAATGGATTTGTAAATAATCATCAGCATCAGCAGCATCAAACGAAGGCTTTGCTTTGATGGACGTTTGTCCTCTTTTAGTAGGTGATGGAGCCTCTCGGGAAGTGACAGGATATTCAGGAGGAGGAGTTTCTTCAAGTGCAAATATCAGAATGAATCAGAACTAAACTCACTGTATTTCTGTAGAAGTTCAGGTTCAAACTGTGCTGAACTGAAGACAGAAGTTAAAGATAAGTGGATAAATAGAGGAAGATTCTCACTGTTTGATGACAGCACTACTGCAGTGTTGTGGGTGCTGATCACAGAGCTCACTGTAGAGGATTCTGGAAGGTATCAGTGTGGAGCTGATAAAGACAGCAGCACATCAGTGGATCTAAATGTACAGAAGGGTGAGTATCTCCCACCACTGCACCTGTTTATTCCCCAAAACCCCCAGCATCATCATCATCAGCTACACTGAAGGTGAACATATATATGTTTGTAGTTAAAATATCCATGTTGTACAAATAGGTGCTTTCAGTGATCTTCTGTTGCCATAGCAGTGTCATCTGCATCTTTTGACATCAATCAGACAGATATTCCTCAGGATTCACCCTGAAGACCATTTTATACCATAACAGTAACTTTTTTCATCACAATGTTTTGTTTTTTTTTAATTTCTGAGTTACAGAATTCACTGTATTATTTTGGTGTCTATAATACTGTTTTGAAGCATGTAAACAACTCACAGTGAAAGCTAGCCAGGCTAAAGTACAGCCTCCACATAGTGGGGTTACATTTAACTAGCATTACAACTAAGCCTCCTTAAAGTATTAATGAGAGAACTCCATATTCCCCCATTTACACTCAACACTCATTTTTAATGTACATATTCTCCAGAACAGCATTATAGAGGTCTTTATATGTTAGTTTCTAATGCAAATCTAGTAACACTTCTTGTATAATCCTTAGTACTGATGTAAATCTAGTTCAGATAGACTGAATCAGTTCTATAGGTTCTATAGACTAAAGAGACTTTTGCACAAAAAGCTTCCCATCATTCTTTGCAGGTTTGCTGATTTACATTTTTTTTTCATTCATTCTCTTCGCAAAATGATGTTATTTTTGTGTTACAGTATATTATCATGCTAAAATGTTAGGTTTAGATGCATTTTACATGTTTTATTCTCACCATGATGGTGTTTGTGTTGAGGTTAAGTTAATGAGTTTGAACAGTGTTATTGACATGAATTGGGGTGATGAGAGGTTAATTTAACCACACTGAGTAAAGTTAATGTAACTCATTCAAGAGTGAGCAGAACTCAAAATAGTACAGACTGTCCACTCAACGGAAACTCTTTTAAATGATTGGGCTGTTTGAGTTGATCTTACTTGCAGAAGAAGTGTGGAACACTGAAAATTAGAAATTAACTCAAAATACAGTCATTTAAGCTCAAACCTGTTGAGGAACTTTGCTCAGTTTTTTTGAGGGAAGTTTCCATTATTTTTTTCTGTAAAGCCGAATAATTTACGGTGTAGCAGATCTAGATGGATGTTTCTCTAATTCTCTCAGTCGTCAGAGCTTGTGTATGTATGTTTAGGTCTCTACTACAGAGCAGTAGACATATTTAGCTTGTTTCCTGTAAGTATGAATGAGGACGTCCTCTGCTGTAATTAGTCAGTTGCTTCTT